TCGCAACTCAACTCTTAACTTCCCTTCCAGGGACTGCAGAGTGTCTTTCTAGAGTTCCTTGTAGGATGACATGAGCAGAGACAGGGCGGGGAGCAGAGCCAGCCCCTCCCAACACACACTGAGGGACCCTGAACTGCCCTTGGCTGGGGCCATGGAGCGGATTCTGACTCAGGGCCACCCTGTAGGGCAGAGTAGAGCTGAACCGTAAACCTTCCCAGAATTAAACTGCCATGCTGTTCTCCCACTGGTGGGCTCAAACCACCCACCTTTTGGGTCCGCAACTGAGTGCTTAACCACTGAGCCACCAGGCTCCTTCTGTGGGTGAAGCTGAAGGAATAGGGGTGCCGACACTCCTGAAGCTCCTGGCTTGATGGGGCCCCAGGCTGAGGGAAGGCGGGGTGGGGTCCCGGCAGGCAGTTTGAGGTTAGGGGGATTCCCTGGGGGTGTTCGTCCAGGGCCCGGGATCCTGAGCCTTGGCTTGACCCACCCTGGTGGCCTGTGCTGGCAGAGGTGGTCGGCGTGGGCTGCGTCCTGGACGGCGTGCGCTATGACAACGGCCAGTCCTTCCGGCTCAACTGCAAGTACAACTGCACGTGCCTGGACGGAGCCCTGGGCTGCTCACCGCTCTGCCTGCGCGCGAGCCCCCCGCGCCTCTGGTGCCGCCGCCCCCGGCGGGTGCGCGTGCCCGGCCGCTGCTGTGAGCACTGGGTGTGCGACGACGACAAGACCACGAAGCCGCGCAGGACCACGCCACGCGACACGGATGCCCTCGGTGGGTGCATTGCGCAGACTGGGGGTGTCCCTGAGGGCTGCTACCAAAGCAACCAGTCAATCCGACTGGGTGCCCCTCCGGTGCTCCTGGAGTCTGGGCTTTACACAGCCTGGCCTCTGTTCCCAGCCCACCTCTTCCTACCTGTGTGGCCTTGGGAAGGTGGCCCCTCTGGGGCCCTGTCTGCTTATCTGTAGAATGGAAACAATAAGAATCATTTCTGAATGGCATACGGGGTTGGCTGAGCATAGAATGAGGACCCCGTTTGAAAAGCGCAAGGCCAAAGGCTTATACACAATCCTTTATCTTCCTAGCCGAGGAAAGAGATTGGGGGGTGGGCAAAGGTGTGGTAGGCGTGAAGCTTCTGAGGAGACAGGAGCAGCAGGTGCAGGGCAGGAGAGTGTGTGCAGGCTGACTAGAGGACAAGATTCATGGTGCTTGGGAGGATGATGGGCAGGAGAGGCGGTAGCAGGTGAGGTGTGAGCCAGGTAAGACAAAGGGAGGGCAGAGATAGGCTTGTCTGTTCCACCACTGCTCCCCTGAAGCCGAGCCCAGTGGCAGGCACTTAGTAGGTACCCAGTTGAGGTTGGATTGATGGATTGATGGATGGAAGGAAAGAAAGAAGGAAGGAAGGATGGGTGTATGGATGGATGAGTGGGTCAATGGACATCGGATGGATGGATGGATAGGTGGGTGGAAGGATGGGTGGATGGCTGGATCAGTGGGCCAATGGACATCAGATGGATGGATGGGTGAGTGGGTGGGTGGGTGCATGGATGGGTGGGTGGGTAGGTGGATGGATGGATGGACAGTCTTATGAAGATCTTCACCAGTGCAGTGGGTGTTAAGGAAGTGACAGATATGGGAGGTCTTTCATGGATAAGACCATGGTGTCCAGAGCCGACCCTGAGGATGAATGGTGGGAAGAGTGGGTGGTGACTTGCGTTCACAGCCTCCTGGAGTAGGTTACAATGGAAGGAGCACTTTGGGAGCAATGACTGTAGCTTCCTTGGAGACAGGTGAGTTCGAGACAGGCGGGACTCCCCTGGAGGAGGGAGCTTGGGCAGGAAGTCTTCTCTCTGGATCTACAGATGGTTGGGGCAGGGGGAACACAGGGGGCTGATCTAGGGTCCCAGGTCCAGGGAAAGAGACGTCAGGGAAGGCCAGAAGTAGGAGCGGGTGTAAGAGGAACACTGGGGGTGAGCACCTGCCGTCTGAGGCGCTGATGCTCTGGAGGATGTTTCTAGAAAGAAGGTAGTGGACAGGAAGCTGTGAGGAAATGTCAATAAAGTGTGGGGTCCTACAGGTGTGGGTGGTTTTCTCTTTAAATGAGAGCAGGCGCTGGCTCAGAGAGGCCATGAGAGCAGGCTGCCCCGCCCTCTACACTGTCTCCACCCAGACGGGAAGGTTCTTCGTTGGGGGGCTGTCCTGTTCATCATAGGAGGTTTAGCCACGTCCCCAGCCTCTGTCCACCAGATGCCAGCACCACACTCCCCCTAAAGTGACAACCCCTAAAGTTTCCAGACATGACCAGCTCTTCACTGGGAGCACAGCAGGGAAGAAGGGGAGGGGTGTAAAGCAGCCAGCATAGGATGGAGAGGGATACCTCTGCAGACAGGAGCCCCTGCACCAGGAGTGGACCATCCCCTGCAAGGCCTCATGGTGGGACCTGGGGGTGAGCAAAGACTTTCCCAGGAGAAAACAGGCCTGAGTCGGTGAGAGGAGGCTGGGAAGCTCGGTCCCCAGCACACCGAGGGCAGCAGGGCCTGGGCTTGGCTGAAGGAGCTATCCCCAGAGTCCCCTTAGCAGGGCCTCATGAGGGTCATGGGGGAAGGTAGGGCCACCTGCCTTTTGTGTGTGGCCCAGTGACCCCGTTCTGACCCAGCACTGCATGCAGTGTCCTCCCCAAGTGAGGGGACCCAGAAACCCGAGCCCCTTATCCTCCAGTGTCAGTTAGCTGCTCCTCACAGCTCAGAGCTCTCTCAGTCCCTCCCTTGGAAGCCTGTCTGGGGCTTCCTTTCTTCTCTTTCCTCTCTCTCACCTCCCTCTCACTCATTCTTCCCAGCATCCGCTCATCAGCTTGTGAAGGGCTCCTCAGACTTGGAGGGTCCTGAGCACGGACCCCTCTTCTCCTCCTTTCAGTCCTGAAGATTCTCCCTCCCCTCCCCCTCTTCCTCCGTTATCCCCCTCCCTTCCTCTCCCCTTCCCTCTCTCCATTGTCCCACCCTTCCATCTGCCTGCTTTCCTCCCTTCTGCTCCTCCCTTTCTCCTGATCCCACGTGTGCTGTGCTGTGTGTGCATGTGTGTGTTGTATGTGCTTGTGTATATATGTGATTTTTGTGTTGTATGTGTATGTAACTATATATGGATGTGTGGATTGTGTGTTGTGTTGTAGTGTGTGTATGTGTGGTGTGGTGTATGTGCCGTTGTGTGTGTGCATGTGTGTGTTTTATGTACTTGTGTATATGTGGGTTCTGTGTGTTGCATGTCTATATAACTGTATATGGATGTGTGTGCGCTATGGTGTGTTGTGGTGTTGCTGTGGTGTTGCTGTGTTGTGTGTGTGTGTTGTGGTGTGTGTGCTGTGGTGTGGTGTGTGTGTCTGGACTGGCCTCCACTTCTGGTCTGCCTTGCGTGTATGTTGCCCACCTTTCTGGGCCTCTCCTCCTCATGCCCCTGGCTCCTCAATGCCTCCATTTCTCAGACACTTCTGTTTTCCAGACTCCTGTCAGACACCATGGGGTGCTCTGTGCCCGGGATACTGCATTCACAGAGCTGTCTGTCAAGGAGTGGGTGGGCTAGCTGGTCACCAACATACTGAAAGCTCAGTTTCTGGAGGTTCCCTGGGGCCGATGTGTAGCCTGAGCACGCTCACCTGTGTGGAGTCAGCTCCTCAGGGTCACTGGCCCGCGGGGAGAAAGTGTCCTTTTGGCCACGTGATTCTGGGAACTGAGGCCCCGAGGTGCACCCAGCTTGTTGGCGCTTACACTGCTGGTGGGTGGCACCTGGCTCTGAGCCTGGTTGCTGGATGCTCGCCTTTGATCAGCCCCAACCAGAGGGACTCTGCAGGGGACAGCCACTGCCTCTGGTAGCCCCCCTGGTGGCAAAGTGGGTTAAGAGTTGGGCTGCTAACCACAAGGCCAGCAGTTCGAACCCACCAGCCCCTCCACAGGAAGATGAGACTGTCTCCTCCCATAAAGAGTTGCAGCATGGGAACATTCAAAAGCAGCTTCCTTCCATCCTGGAGGGTGGCTCTGAGTCAGAATGGAGTCAATAGTGGTGGGTTGACTTGACCCCGGCATTGGCAGGACACCTGATACAGGCTCATTATACCCCAGGACTCTCCATAGGAGCTCTAACCACGAGACAAAGACCACTGTTCTGCCCAAGAGGTGGATGCTCAGGGAGTCTGAGCCCAGTCTCTGAAGCCATGCAGCCATGTCCAGGGCAGGGCCAGATTTGAACCTCTCTCTCACTACCGTCAAGTCAATTCTGACTGATAGTGACCCTACAGGGCAGGGTGGAACTGCCCCTGAGAGTTTCTGAGGCTGTGACTCTTTACAGGAGTAGAACGCCTTCTCGTAGGGAACCTGGGTCCTCCTATCTCTCTAAAGCATTTTGAAATGGCCCTTTTCTCCCTGGGAGCCCAGGCTTGGGGGGCTGCACAGAACGTCCCATCTGCATTTGGGGGATGCTGCCCCCAGGGACTCATGGGGACTTTCTCCCACGCAGCCGCTGAGAGTGAGGTGGAACCGTGGCACAGGAACTGCGTGGCCTTCACAAGCCCCTGGAGCCCCTGCTCCACCAGCTGCGGCCTGGGGGTCTCCACTCGAATCTCCAACGCCAACGCCCGGTGCTGGCCAGGGCAGCAGAGCCGGCTCTGCAACCTTCGGCCCTGCGAGGAGGACATCCGTTCACACATCAAGGTGCGTCCTCTCCCGGGTGGCCAGGGCAGGGCAGGACAGCAAGAAGGCCAACCTGCCTGTATACTTGGCTCCTGAACTTCCATCTGCAGAGCGGGTCTAATCCCGCCCTGGGAATGTCTCAAGTTCCCTGGAGAGCGGCCATTTGTGATTGTGTGGGTCAGAGGACTGCTGCACTGGCCTCTCACCCAGGGGAAGCTCTTGTGGGAAGCCCCACGGAGCACTCAGCCATGAGGATGCTGAGGGTGCCCCTGTGGCTGGCTGTGGCCCAGTGGAAGGAGACGGTGGTGTTTATGCAACACCCATCCCATTGAATAAGCTTCTGATCAGAGTGTGTGGGAGGTGGGGGGAGGGGGCTGGGGGGTGCTGAAGGAGGCGGGAGAAGAAGGGAGTTACAGAGAGCAGGTTCCCTGACCTGGGGTCTCAGGACTTGTCTTGTGGCCAACTATCTGGGCTGGTGGAAGGCGCTCCTGAGACCAACGAGAGACTAAAGCCTGACCAGGCTGAGGTGCAAAAGAGATGGGGCCCTGCAGAGGGAGAGGCAGCCCGAGCAATAGCAGCCCCTCTGTCTGCCTCAGTGAACCACGGGTCTCCCTGTGTTTGCAAAGGCCTTTTCTTGTGTATGCCCCGGTGGCGCAGGGCATTGAGCTGCTAACCACAAGGTCAGTGGTTCCAACCCACCAGCCGCTCTTCGGGAGGCAGAGGAGGTCATCTGCTCCAGTCATGAGTTATGGCCTCAGAAATCCAGAGAGGCCATCACATTCTGTCCCAGCGAGTCTGAACCAACTTGATGGCAGGGCTGTTTTCTGAGCTTTCCCTGCTCAGAGATGCAGGCAGAGCCGGGGGCTCGATGGGAAGAAGGCAGCTGCTGCCCGGGAGGGTCCCTGGGCGTCCCGACTGAGTGCTGCTCCGCTTCCTCTCCTGCAGGCAGGAAAGAAGTGTCTGGCTGTATACCAGCCGGAGGTGCCCCGGAACTTCACGCTGGGGGGCTGCGTCAGCACGCGCTCCTACCGGCCCAAGTACTGCGGGGTCTGCACGGACACCAGGTGCTGCGTCCCCTACAAGTCCAAGACCGTCGAAGTCGCCTTCCAGTGTCCGGATGGGCCCGGCTTCTCCCGCCAGGTCCTATGGATCAACGCCTGCTTCTGCAACCTGAGCTGTAGGAACCCCAACGATATCTTTCAAGACTTGGGATCCTACCCAGACTTGTCAGAAATTGCCAATTAGGCAGGCGTGAAAGGCCTTGGAGCTCGGGGCCAGGCCCGGAGCTTGCAAAGCAGACAGCCCCCTGCGGCCCCAACCCTCTCACAACTGAGCCTTGTTGTATTCACTTCACTCCCACCTCTAATTTCCGTGCCCCTGCTCCTCAGGGCCTGTGGCCCATCTCTGGTGGCCCAGATGGCCCCTGATAGTGCTCCAGGCATGGGGGTCCCTTTCTTGGCAGCCTTCCTTGTCTGCTCCAAAGGAAACGCCTGCCTCTAGCAGTTGTGGGCCACCCCCAAGCCTGAGCTACTCACCCAAGCCGCTAACAGGCCTGCTGGAGTTTGCAGGAGTCTCAGTGAGCAGAACCGTCTAGACTCCCCATAGCATGAATTCCCTCTTTGGATCCCAAACCTCGAGCTCTTTGAGTGCCCTCAGAAGGACTGAATGGTTTATTTCCTGCATAGTGACACCCACCTAGGCTGGTCTGACCCTAACACACCCAAAGCAAGCCTGACGCCAAAGCTGTAGGCACCCCACATACTTGTCCAGAGAAGCCAATGAGTTTTTGTTCCATTTTTCAATGGAAAATGGGCCCAGGGACCCGGGGCTGTTGGGGTTCAGCTTCCCCTCTGATCTTCACTGTGAAAGGTAGAGATAGGGTTTACCCCCATCAGATATGAAATGGGATCATCTGTTGTCGATCCTGGGAACAACCACCTGTGGACACCCCAGGGATACAGCGAGCTCAGTCAATTCCCAGAAAGAGCCACTGGCTCCAGCGTGAGCCTGCTATTGACCAGGAGTCCGTGATGCACAGGCCAGGCACCCCTGCCATCAGATCCTCCCGCTGCTGGGCAGCTCAGGGGCGGCCTGGGAGGTCCTGGGAAGGCCTGGTTGTACCCTGTGGGTGGTGTCCTGGGACAGTTCTTGATTCTGAAATGACCAAGGCAGGCCCAGGTCAGAGGTGGGCCAAACAAGACACATATCCACACCACAAAGTCTGGAGTGGCCTCCATCAGGAGGCTGCAGGGCCCCGAGGGTCATTTTCTGCCACAGGGATCCATTTCACGGCTTGAGGCCTGATCACCCAAAGAGCCCCGCTTCCTGGTGTAAAGACGGGTTGTTGTCGGTCGCTCAAACCCAGAAACGTATTTAACAAGGGTTTCGAAGCTAAAAACCCAAAATAAACATTCCAGACCCAGCTGCCGTTGTGTGGAGAAGCCTGTGGGTCCCAGCGGACCTGCCCCACAAGCATTTCCAGGCTGCACATCTTGACGGGAGCAGACAGCCTCGTCTTTCTCCCATGGACCGGGGGAGGAGTTCGAACTGCAGACCTCTGGTTTTGCAGCCATTCACTTCCATCGCTGTACCAGCAGGGCGCTAAGGAAAGGGAAACCAGGTGCAAACGTCTGTGATTAGTAACATCTCAAGACTTTCTGATATCTTTCTCTTACCAAGCCCGTCCTCTTGGCCAGGCGTGTGCTTCCTCACTGAATCTGTGGGGCAGCCGTGTGAATAGGCCGGAGCTAGTTCTGCTCCTACCAGTGTGAGTCAGAAGCCCAGAGAAGGAAAGACACTTGGCAAAAGTCACCCAGCTGGCAAGTGGGGAGAGTTGGGGCCCAAACCCACGCCGAACTGACTCCAAAGTTCATTCCCCCTGCCTGCTTTTACAGCTTCCTGAGAGACGTCAGAGCCGGGCATTCTGGGACACACGGCTCCCTGCCTCCACGTCTGTCCTTCTTACTGTCTCTCAAGTTACTTTCCCCAGAGGAGAGTGTGTCTGAGGAAATGACCACTTAGGTAAGCGGGTGTCTAGAAACTTATCAAATCAAGGGGAGGAAACGGTCGCACCCCCAGCAGTTCATCCCCAGTTCTAGCTCCAGTCCAGCCCCCCTGCACGCTTAGAGGACGTCTGATAGACCAGTGATGTGCGGTCGTTGCCCAGGGGCTAATCTGCAGCAAACAGAGGGATTCCTTAACCGGCATGAGAACTCCCAAAGCACCCGCCTCCCTGGAGCCACCCAGAAGGTCAGCCCGGTGCAAGGGGGGCAGTGGTGCACAGCACACATTCAGAAAAAAAGTCGGCAGGTGTCCCTCCTTGGTCCAGAAGCTGTCCTCCAAGTCACGTGAGCATCTCATGTCC